TGTAGAGTGTCCAACCTTTTTTCTTCTCTCTACATACAACACATAAGCTACAGGTTGGACACTCTGCCACATCTAGCACTTACAGTTTTGTTCTTTGATATTAGTATCTCTTTGGAAGAAACATAAATTATTGTTCTGAGTTGGAATAAAACTGTGGACACCATTAGTATTATATGTAGTTGAAAACCTGAATCCTATTTCAGAATTTGAGCAAATTTACTAGGTACCTCTGTTAGCAGATAATGTATTTCAAAATACATTGTGGATCACGAACTTTAGGAGCATTACAAAAGGAATATAGGCTGGGCATCCAGCTCATACTTATAATCCTAGCAGTCTGGAAGGCCAAGGCAGGTGGATTGCTCGAGCTCAGGTGTTTGAGACCAGCCTGAGCAAGAGCAAGACCCCTGTCTCCAGAAAATAGCCAGGTGTTGTGGTGGGTACCTGTAGTCTTAGCTACGTGGGAGGCTAAGGCAAGACTATCATTTGAGCCTAAGAGTTTGAGGTTGCTGTGAGCTATGACGCCACAGCACTCTACTGAGGGCAACAAAATGAGCAAATATAAAAGGAATATAAATTTGGTATTTAGTTGAAAGGTGACTTTTACAGATAAAAACAAATACAAAGATGACATACAATTTGAGACCAAAGGGAAATACATATAAATGGTATTGTTCGAGAAAAAAAGGTGAATATGGGTTAGAATAGTTACGGACATTTTCTGAAAAAATTTGGCTTTTGAAGATAGGCTTTTGGAGATCTAGAGAAATGCTTAGGAGAAGAACAGATTTTCAATGTGGTAACAAGATATGCAAAGGCACATAGGTTGGAATAACCAGTAATTGTGTGGTACAGTGAGTAGAATGGTGTAAAGGAAGTAGATGTAGAGGATGAGCTAGAGTAGATTAAAATTGGTCAGGTAAGTTGGTCTTAGATTCTAGAGGGCTGACCGTAGTAGGCTGTGGCATTTGGTTCAAACTGTATTGAAGAAGTTGAGCAAGGGATTTATGTATGTATGTATGTACATATGTGTATATATATTTATTTAGAGTCTCTGTCACCCTGGGTAGAGTACCATGACATCATTATAGCTCATAGTATCCTCAAACTCTTTGGCTCAAGTGATCCTCTTGCCTCAGCCTCCTGAGTAGCTGAGACTACAGGAGCCCACCACAATGTGGGGCATTTTCTTTTTTTTTTTTTTGAGACAGAGCCTCAAGCTATCCCCCTGGGTAGAGTGCTGTGGCATCACAACTCACAGCAGCCTCCAACTCCTGGGCTCAAGCTAGTCTCCTGCCTCAGCCTCCCAGGTAGCTGGGACCACAGGTACCCGCCACAACACCCCGCTAGTTTTTGGTTGCAGCCGTCATTGTTGTTTTGATGGGCCCAGGCTGGATTCGAACCTGCCACCTTAGCCACTTGAGCCACAGGCACTGAGCCTTTTATTCTGTTTTTAGTAGAGAAGGGATCTTGTTCTTACTCAGGCTGGTCTAGAACTCCTGAGCTCAAGCAGTCCACCTGCCTTGGCTTTCCAGAGTGCTAGAAGGATTACAGGTATGAGCTGTCACACCTGGCCAAGGGGATCTATTTTTATTAAATAATAAGAAGGTATTAAAGTAATGTTTCAACTATTAGTAGTAGTTTTGAAATTGTGCTCTGTGGGGAGTATAGGGGTGAAACCCTTGATATCTTGGTCACTGTTATAACCTTAGAGCCCCAAACAGAGCCTCGTACCTAGTAGGAATTTAGAAATATTTGTTGATTGAATGAATGGCACAGTTTTGGATCTTCCCTAACCAATGTTTCAATTGAAACAGTATCAACATATACCACTGGTTTTTTTTTTATATATTGAGCTTCTACATATTGTTTCTTTAAAAAATTTTTTTTCCATATTTTTTCATTTTAGTTGGAATGGTTCCATATGCAAAAGCAGCTTGAAACCCCTAACATACAGGATTAGTATCAGAAACCAGTTTGGAAGCTGTGCTCATAAAGCCTGATTTCATTCACACCACGGGGCAGCTATGTTGGGCATTCCTATTGCAGTAATTAAAGAATCCTGGTGTTTCAAAAGAATTCATGTTTTTGTTTTTATATAAAGAAATAATATATGTGCTGTAAGATAGGCAGACAATCTTTTATGGCTTTTAGATGAAATCATGACCAGCATTTAGCAGGTATTAAGCTTCTGCTTTTCTGCAGATACCTATAGCTTGTATTTGGGGGGAAATAGACCGTGATTGGGCGGGTCATTATTTTTCTTTCTCTTTTTTTTTTTTTTTTTTTGGAGACAGAGGCTCAAGCAAGTCTCCTGCCTCCGCCTCCCAAGTAGCTGGGACCACAGGTGCCCGCCACAACACCTGCCTATTTTTTTTGGTTGCAGCCATCATTGTTGTTTGGTGGGCCCGGGCTGGATTCGAACCTGCCTCCTTAGGTATATGTGGCTGGCGCCTTAGCCACTCGAGCCACTTGGCTTGAGCCAAGCCGTCATTGTTTTTCAGTAGGTTATTTAGTGCTGCACAATTAGCTACTTTTGATATTTCTTTCACTGGATTGGTGTTTGTTATCCTCAGAGTATTTGGAAATTGGTATGGTTGGGTAGAGTAGCAATTTTTGGATAGTAGCAGGTATCACGTTTGTACAATGTGTTTTAGAAATTTTCTACTCTATTTTCAGTCTCACTGTTCTTATTTGTAGATTTCCTTTGGACAGGTTGATCCAGGGTACCTGATGGTGTTTTATTACCAAGTGCTTCATGTAATGTTGCTTTGTCTTTGGAAATTCTTAAACTTATTTTTCAGTTCTCACTGGATGAAGTGGACATAATTAAGGGCAGTAGCTCTTTTCTTATCTCACAAAGACTCTAGGCAGTTTTCTTTTCTTTTTTTGTTTTGACTGAGTCTCACTTTGTTGCCCTTAGTAGAGTGCTATGACGTCACAGCTCACAGCAACCTCAAACTCTTGGACTCAAACAATTTTTTGCCTCAGCCTCCCAAGTAGCTGGGTCTACAGGGCCCACCACAATGCCTGGCTGTTTTTAGAGATGGGGTCTCGCTCTTGCTCAGTCCGGTCTCAAATCCATGAGCTCAGGCAATCCACCCGCCTTGGCCTCCCAGAGTGCTGGGATTACAGACGTGTGCCCCTGCACCCAGCCTCTAGGCAGTTTTCTTTCCTTTTTTTTTTTAAAGAGACAGAGTCTCACTTTGTTGTCCTTGGTAGAGTGCTGTGATGTCACAGCTCACAGCATCCTCCAGCTCTTGGGCTTAGGTGATTATCTTGCCTCAACCTCCTGAGTAGCTGGGACTATAGGCGCCCACCACAATGCCCAGCTATTTTTTTTGTTCCAGTTTGGCTGGGGCCGGGTTTGAACCTGCCACTCTATGAGGCCATTGCCCTACTCACTGAGCCACAGGCGCCACCCCTAGGCAGTTTTCCTAATCACTTTCATCCTTAGTTTTTTCTATGGTAAAGCTGGAGGCGTCTAGAGAAACCCACTTCATCAAAGGAAGGGTTTCTAGAGGGTTGTCAAATGCGTATGTTGATATAGTCCTTATATTTGTAAAATTATGTCACAGTAAGAATATAAGAATGGTGAGTGTTGCAGTAGATAATTTCATATGTATTCTATAGATGTTTACCTTTCTAAAAGGCTTATTAACTCAAAAAGTAATGGATTACATATATTCAGAGAATAGAAGGTGACTACTACTATTAATTTATTATGGGTGAACAAGCAAATAGATTTCTCCTTATGTACTATTAAAAGGTTCTTTAAATTTTCAAGGTGAGACTTTGATACGCAGAATGGGATAGAAGAGCTGAGGGGCAATTGTAATGCTGGAGTTCTTAAAACTGTCTGTGAATCAGAATTTCAGGGGAGGAGTGGAAGTAGGTGTGTTTGGTCAGGATGTACCCCAAATATACTAAATTAGAATCCTCAGAGGTGGGGGGGGGGGCTGTCTCGGCATTTGCAGTTTAAATATGTTCTGTAGGTAGTCTGATGTAGCTGGTCTAAGGACCAGCATTTGGAAACCATTGGTTCTAGTGGCTTCTCATCACAAATAGAATAAAATCAATAGTCCTTGCGTTAGCCTTCTGGGCCGTAAATAATCTTGCCCCTGCCTTTATCTCTGATCTCTTCCCCTGGTTTGTCCACTCTTCCTTTTGCTTACTATGCTTCAGCATGCCAGTTTTCTTTCTTTTCCTAAAACAAGCCATTGTACATTCCTAGCACTAGGCCATTGGACTTGCTATTTTCTCTGCCTCTGCCTGGAATACTGTACCCTTAGATGTACTTTTTTTTTGAGACAGATTTTCCCTTAGTAGAGTGCTGTGCCATCATAGCTCACAGCAGCCTCAAACTCTTGGACTCAAGCAATTTTCTTGCCTCAGCCTCCCAAGTTGCTGGGACTCCAGGCACCCACCACAACGCCTGGCTATTTTTAGAGATGAGGTCTCGCTCTGGCTCAGGCTGGTCTCAAACGCATGAGCTTAGGCAGTCCACCCACCTTGGCCTCCCCGAGTGCTGGGATTATAAGTGTGAGCCTCCATGCCCAGCCTCTACCTTTAGATATTTGTATGGATGATTCATTTTAGTCCATGGATGATTCATTTTAGTCTTAGGTCAAATGTCTCTTCCCTCAGGGATGCCTGTTGACACTCCCAGTCTGAAGTTGTCCCCATGTACCCCAGCAATCTCTGTCATATCATTTCAACTTATTTTATTCATAGCTCTTGTGTTTAACTGAAATTATCATTTTATTTTTTTTCCTTTCCCCTCTGAATGTAAACTGCACAGAGCAAGGGCTTTGCCAGTCTTGTTTACTCTTGTCTCTCTAACACTAGAATGTGTCTAGTTCTTAGTGCTCAAGATAGACTTGTTTGGAGACAAGCTTCCTCTAGCCATCCACTGAGCTCATGGAAAGAACAGAAATTCCTCAGCTGATTAAGCTGTGGTTAGTGATCATTTACTATGATTCTTTTTCTTTCCTATCTAGCTAAGTCCACTTCAGGGCGAGGCCAGTGCCTGAAACGCATCCGCTATCATGGCAGAGGTTACTTTGGGATCATGGAGAAAGTTTATTGCCATTATTTTGTGAAGTTGGTGGAAGGACCCCCACCTCCACATGAGGAACCGAAGACAGCCGTCGCTTACGCCAAAGAGTATGTTCAGGAGCTTCGCAACCGGACCATCATTCATACTCTATGATGGGGGTGCTCAGACTCCACAGTGTATATATTTTGCCATTTGTTTTCTAAAAATAAACAAAATTTAAAGACAAATGATTTTTATGGATTTATCATTGAATTATTGAAACATTTTCTATAACTTCTAGTTTTATGTGAATATTTATTTACAAGGCTTTGCCTATCTCTCTTAAGCCTCTGGGCAAACTTGTATGCATGTGCATCTTGAAAGGAGAAATCATTTTTAAACATAATAATAAACTATAATTGAGGAGGACCCCTCGGGCAATTGAAGCAATGTCAAAAATGCACTTTTGGGACCGGATCAAACTTAAAAGTTTCTGCACAGCCAAGAACACAGTAAATAAAGTGGGTAGACAGCCCTCAGAATGGGAGAAGATATTTGCTGGTTATGTCTCCGACAAAGGTTTAATAACCAGAATCCACAGAGAACACAAACGTATTAGCAAGAAAAAAACAAGTGATCCCATCTTGGTGGGCAAGGGACTTGAATAGAAATTTCTCTAAAGAAGAGAGGTGCATGGCCTACAGATATATGAAAAAATGCTCTCCATCCTTAATCATCAGAGAAATGCAAATCAAAACTACTTTGAGGTACCACCTAACCCCAGTAAGATTAGCCCATATCACAAAATCCCCAAACCAGAGATGTTGGTGTGGATGTGGAGAAAAGGGAACACTTCTACACTGCTGGTGGGAATGCAAATTAATTCGTTCCTTTTGGAAAGACATCTGGAGAACACTGACAGAACTAAAAATAGACCTGTCATTTGATCCTGCAATTCCTTTATTAGGTATATATCCAGAAGACCAAAAATCAAATTACAACAAAGATATTTGTATCAGAATGTTTATTGCAGCCCAATTCTTAATTGCTAGGTCAGGAAGGAGCCCAAATGCCCATCGATCCATGAATGGATCAATAAATTGTGGTACGTGTAAACCATGGAATACTATGCAGCCCTAAAGAAGGATAGAGACTTTACCTCCTTTGTGTTTGTATGGATGGAATTGGAAAATGTTGTTCTTAGCAAAGTATCTCAAGAATGGAAGAAAAAGTATCCAATGTATACAGCCCTACTTTGAAACTAATTCATAGCTTTTATAGGAATGTCATAATCTAATTATAGCCTTAGAATATGGGAAGGGGTTGGGAGGGGAAGGTGAGGAGGGTGGATGGGGGAGGGAGCGATATTGGTGGGGTCACCTCTATGGTTATCTTACAAGGGTACAAGTGAATCTAAAAGCAGAGGATGAATGTTTTGACTCAGTAACTAGGAAAATGACATGAAGGTTATGTTGACCAGTTTGATGAGAGTATTTCAAAATGTATATGAAGACAGCACACTATACCCCATGATTGCATTAATGTACATAGTTATGCTATAAGAAATTTTAAAAAGCCAATAATAAACTATAATTTAGAAGGTTTTTTGAGTACCTTATGAAGAGAATGTTAACTTTCCAACTAGTGTCTTGCAGGTGGCAAGTTTGATACTGGACTTGAATGTTACAGGATAAGAAAGCTTGTCCTTATTGCACTTGATTTTGATCGGGGGAAGGTATAGTGGAGGCTAGCATGGCTAAATGTTGTTTCATTGTAGTATTTTAGGGTTCAGTGGTTCTGTCTTTCCTTTCACTATTGGCAGAGGCTCTTGGGTAAGGAGTTATATTTTCCTTTACTATTTTAGCAGTAATTTGAAATTGTAAGAGTTAATTAGCTATTCTAATCTAAAACTCCAAAAACCCTTTAACTTCGAGTTTCTGTTGAAAGTTAAAGTCTATTTTTATGTAAAGCACTCAACCAACAGTGCTTTACACTGTTGAATATCTTGTTTAGGATTGATTTCATTGTTGGGGAATCCTTGAGGGTATAAAGAACTAGATTACACTGCTTGGATTTGTTAGGTAAAGTCTCTCTTATAATTGTGTCCCAAGAGGTGTGTCACACACTGTGACCCCCCCCACTCCCTTCCCTCTCTCTCCTTACCTCTTTCCCCTACCCTGTTCCTCCAGCCCCCACCATGTACTAACATCAGTTGTCCTCATATCAGAATTGAGTACATTGGATTCTTGCTTCTTCATTCTTGTGATGCTTTACTAAGAAGAATGTTAATAAAAAAGATGTAAAGTCACCATATTTTTAGTGGCCGAATAGTATTCCATGGTATACATACACCATAGCTTGTTAAACCATTCCTGGATCCGTGGGCATTTAGGTTGTTTCCACAATTTGGCATTTGTAAACTGAGTTGCAATAAACAGTCTTGTGCAAATGTCCTTATGATAAAATGATTTTTTTTCTTCTGGGTAGATGCCCAGTAATGGGATTGCAGGATCAAATGGGGATTGATTAATTTTTCAGGATGAGGCTCGGCACCTGTGGCTCAAGTGGCTAAGGCGCCAGCCATGTACACCTAAGATGGCAGGTTCGAATCCAGCCTGGGCCTGCCAAAACAATGACAGCTGCAACCAAAAAATAGCTGGGCATTGTGGCGGGCGCCTGTGGTCCCAGCTACTTGGGAGGCAGAGGCAGGAGACTCGCTTGAGCCCAGCAGTTGGGGATTGCTGTGACCTGTGATGCCACGGCACTCTACCCAGGGGGACAGCTTGAGGCTCTGTCTCAAAAAAAAAAATTTTTTTTCAGGATGAATTCATTTACTGTACTGAGAAATTCAACTAATCTCAGCATTGCATTCTAATGTAAGGCAGTAGGTGGCGCTCAGTCACCTCTTGTTTACAGAAAATAGTTTCTAATTAGAGTGTTCAACACCAGCTGGCTCTCATTGATACACATGTTTTCATTGGCAAGAAGCACTCTGTGGCCACAGCCCTAATCCAGTGTTTCTCAAATCTTTTTATGCAAAGGAAGAATTTGGAGTGCCTGCTTGTTAATGCAGTCTTCTGGGCCCCCACACCAGTGATTCTGATTCACTAGGTATAGGGGGGCTAGCAGAGCTAGTTTGAGAAATTTGTGTTTTAAATAAGCACTTCAGGTGATTCTGTTGTAGGGGAGTATGCTTTGAGAACACTACTCTAGGAGAATCAAGAATGTAGTTTTAGTGCCGTGTTTTAAGATAGCATTAATAATGCCTCGTATTTACTGAGACCTTGCAATTTGCCAAGTTCTGTGCTAGTATTTTACAATGTCCTGAAAATGTAGGTATTGTTTTGCCACTTTGCAAAGTGGAAGAACTGAAGCACACAAAATTCAAATACTGATCATGGAGCCACACAGCATGTAAATACAGAAGCTATGATTTAAATCAGATTTGTAAAGTACCTGGTTTGCATACCTAATAAATATATAGCTGGAGTTAACCTAATACATGGGTAGAAAGGCATTAGGGCTCGGTGGAATAATCCAAGGTTAAGGACAGACTTATTCTGGGTTCTACACTGTTGTAGCATGGAGTCGTGGAAATAACACTAGAGTGGAAAGGTGGACTTCCTTCTGGTCTTTGTGTGCTTGTTAGCCAGGAAGAAGACTCTGGGGAAGTCCCTTCCCTAGGTAGCTTCCATTTCATTCATCTGTGAGGCTCAGTGTTCTTTGTAGACAAACTTCTTCAGAATCACTTGAAAAATTTGTTTAAAAACACATTTCTGGGCCCTATTCTCAGACTAAGTGAATCAGAAGCTTTAGTGTGGGAGACCAGGGAACCTGTACTTTTAACAGATGCCCCAGCAGTTTGCATGTTGGAGAATCATCAGTGGAGAATCACTCTATGCTTCAGTGGAAATGCTCCATGAATCTTAGTCTTGGAGCTATGACTTCCTTGGATGGCACTATGAACACTGTAACTAAATTATGTAAATGAAGGCACTGCTTCAATCAGGCTATTGAAGCTATTTTGAATGAGGTAAGGAAAAAACAGGCCTTGGATGCTAATGAAGAAAATTTGCTTGTGATCTAAGGTTACGACTTCATTTGGAACTGCTTCTAGTATATTGTAAAGAATCGGTAGTACTTAACTAAGTGGTACTGTTTTAAGCACTTTATGTAAATGTTTAGAACTTTTCATATTTAGATAAATATTACATACATATTCATAACTTTACATGTTTAGAAACTAACACTTATTCTTTAATCGCATCTCTGAATGCTTGTAATTTGTCTCTTTTCCAAAGAATTATGGTAGACTCAAACTTTTGTCGCTGGGGTACAGCATATTCAGAAAGCATCCCAGTCACAAGTAAACGGCTCAATAAATGATCAGCTGCTGAAGTTGCCCAAGTAACTCCCACCAGGGCAAGAAATAGAACATGAATAACAGCCCTAAAGTCCTCTTTGTGCCCTCTCCCAATCACCAACCCCCCCCTTTTCTCCATAAAGGTAATTATTATTTATTTATTTTTTGAGACAGAGCCTCAAGCTGTCCCCCTGGGTAGAGGGCCGTGGCATCACAGCTCACAGCAACCTCCAACTCCTGGGCTCAAGCTAGTCTCTTGTCTCAGCCTCCCAAGTAGCTGGGACCACAGGCACCCGCCACAACACCCCGCTAGTTTTTGGTTGCAGCCGTCATTGTTGTTTTGATGGGCCCAGGCTGGATTCGAACCTGCCACCTTAGCCACTTGAGCCACAGGCGCTGAGCCCATAAAGGTAATTATTAACCTGACTACTAGGGTGTATGTGTATTAGATTTTTATTTTTATTTATGTATTTATTTCTGAGACAGAGTCTCAGTCTGTAACCCTTGGTAGAGTTCCATGGTGTCTAAGCTCACAGCAACCTCAAACTCTTGGGCTTAAGTGATCCTCTTGGCTCAGCCTTCCAGAGTGCTGGGACTATAGGTGCCTACCATAACACCTGGCTATTTTTTTTTTTTTTTTAAGAGACAGGGGTCCTGTTCTAACTCAGGCTGGTCTCAAACTTGTGAGCTCAGGCAATCCACCAGCCTTGGCCTCCCAGAGTGCAGGGGCTACTGCACCCAGACAGGGGCCACTGCACCCAGCCCAGATTTTTAAATGAAAAGAATTTCTTTCTTCTTTGTTTGTTTGTTTGTTTGTTTGTTTTTTTAGAAGCAAGGTCTCACCCTGTCACCCAAGCTGTTCTCAACCTGACCTCAAGCC